CAACAGACCTCACTACTTCTGAGGATGCTTGCCATAGATGCAGGCAAAACGTCAGGAGAGAATGCCTCTAGACCATGGCCATATAGCCCGAAAAAACCTACAACAACCCACTTAGTTAGATTGTTTCATTCTTGGACGGACTTTTCCCTCTTCCTTTCATCCTGTGTCCAACTTGCTCCTCCTCCAAACGCCTCTCCCTCCTTCAACCTTTGGTCCTGTGCATGAAGAATAACACACCATTGCAGCATCCAAAAGAAAGCCACACATTTTAGAACTTACTTTTTTGGCTACTACTGATAAAAATATTGCTGTGTATAAACCCAAATCCTTTTCGCTGGTCCTCTCGGAGTAAACCTATGTAATCATTAGTTGGTTTGGGAATCAACACATAGATTAATGAGAGAAGCCTCCCACAAGGATGATAAAACATCCGGGCGTCCCCTGGGCAACGTCCTTGCAGACGGCCAATTCTCTCACACCAGAAGCGTTTTGCAGTTTCTCAAGTCGCTCCTGACACGACAAAAATCCTGTCGATTCAAATGACTGAAATGTCTGGAACGGTAAAGAGATAGGCTTTAGCTTAACTCCATATCCTCCCATTGTTTTGATTCAGCAGGGTACAATCCCCATTAATCTTATTTCCCTTTTTAAGATGCTTTCAAATTGTCCCTGTTTATCTCTCCTCTTCTCACACCCGCTTTTCTTCAACTTACTTCAGTTGCTGTAAACTTCGTCCCTTTGCACTCAATTGACTGAGCAGTTCTGATCCTCTACTATCTCATTTTATAAAATGACCCGGTTTTCCTACTCCTCCCACTTTTGTCTTCAGCTTAACTTAAATTGCTGCAAACTGAGCAAGTTGCAAAAATAGTTTGCACTCAATTAATTCAGCAATCTTGATCAATCCTCTCTCATCCCACTTTAGCAACAGTTTATGAAATGCCCCAATTTCCTTCTCTTCCCATTTTTGTCTCCAACATACGAGGGATCTCTGAAAAGTAAGGTTACAAGATTTTCTTTTAAATGCAAAGAATGAATACATTTTAATCAAACGGACATGGATTGTAGCATAGGTATGACATTATTTTTCCACATAATCACCATTCAGTTCAATACATTTTGTCATTCGTGGGATGAGTTTTTGATGCCTGTGTCCGCTTTTTTCAGCTAGGTCGTCACTTCAATTTTCAACTCATTGTCATTGGGAAAGTGTTTTCCACCCAAGTTTTCCTTCAATTTAGTGAACAGATGATAGTCACTGGGTGTGAGATTGGGGCTGTGAGAGCGGTGGCTTAAAACAGCCCAACCAAATGAAGTCAACAGCTTTGTGTTACATGAGCAGTGTGCGGACGCGCATTGTCATGAAGGAGACAGACTCCCGTCATCAGCATCCCACTATGTTTGTTTTGAATGGCTCGGCGAAGTTTTTTCATGGTCTCACAATATATTCCATCAAGATCTGCCCGGGGCTTAGTTGGTTGCTTTTGTTGCCAGTCCCAAGCTGCCCGTAAGTGTTAGCGCCCCAGGAATACATTAAGCCCCCATCAGTTAGTGCTAGTGTGTGTGCATAGCCACAGGCAATCTGCATGATACAAACACCTTGGAGAGCGGCCACTCGGCATGGTGTTAACTGGTTGCCACTTGCCATTATTTCCAAGACCCAGTTGCCCATTCCCATTGTAGCCCCAGCCATATACCTCACCATTGTCTACTACAGCTACAGAGGAGGTCTGGCCACATGCAATGCTGACCACAATTTTAGTCTGTAAACTACTGGAAACTTTACGAGGAGTTGGTTGATTTGCTGTTGATCCAGACCCAACTTGGCCACAATTGTTATAGCCCCAAGCATATACATCACCGTCAGAGGACAGTGCTAAAGAATGATGGGATCCACAAGCCACTTCAATCACTAGGTTCTTGTGGGTTTTTCCGGGCTATATGGCCATGTTCTAGAGGCATTTTCTCCTGACGTTTTGCCTGCATCTATAGCAAGCATCCTCAGAGGTAGTGAGGTCTGTTGGAAATAGGACAATGGGTTTATATATCTGTGGAATGGCTGGGGTGGGGCAAAGAGCTCTCCTCTGCTGGAGCTAGGTGTGAATGTTTCAGCTGACCACCTTCATTAGCATTTGAAGGCCTGACTGAGCTTGGAGGAATCTTTTGTTGAGAGGTGTTAAGATGTGCCTGGTTGTTTCCTCTCTGCTGTTTTGCTGTTGTAATTTTAGAGTTTTTTAATACTGGTAGCCAGATTTTGTTCATTTTCATGGTCTCCTCCTTTCTGTTGAAATTGTCCACATGCTTGTGGATTTCAATGGCTTCTCTGTGTAGTCTGACATGGTGGTTGTTGGAGTGGAGCTGATGAAGAAACACAACATACAAACAATCTACAGACCCACTAAGAAAATCCAACAAATGCTACGTTCAGCAAAGGACAAGAGGGATCCTCTCACTTATGCAGGAGTCCACTGTATACCATGCAGCTGTGGACAAGTCTACATAGGGACCACCAAACGCAGCATTGCCCAAACACGAATCAAGGGACATAAAAGGCACTGCAGACTACTTCAACCAGAGAAGTCAGCCATAGCAGAGCACCTGATGAACCAGCCTGGACACAGCATATTATTTGAGAACACAGAAATGCTGGACCACTCCAACAACCACCATGTCAGACTACACAGAGAAGCCATTGAAATCCACAAGCATGTGGACAATTTCAACAGAAAGGAGGAGAACACGAAAATGAACAAAATCTGGCTACCAGTATTAAAAAACTCTAAAATTACAACAGCAAAACAACAGAGAGCAAACAATCAGGCACATCAAATCACTCCCAACAAAAGATTCCCCCCTGGCACTTCCAAGCCATTAAATGCTAATCAAGGTGGTCAGTTGAAACATTCACACCTAGCTCCAGCAGACATAAGTCCTTTGTCCCACCCTGGTCATTCCACAGATATATAAACCCATTTTCCTACTTGCAACAGACCTCACTACCTCTGAGGATGCTTACCATAGATGCAGGTGGAACGTCAGGAGAAAATGCCTCTAGAACATGGCCATATAGCCCGGAAAACCTACAACAACTCAATGATGGGATCCACAAGCCACTTCAATCACCTTTTTGATTAATAAATTGGTACAAACTTGAATAGGTGTGACACCCTGGTTGGTGGTCCCATTTCCAAGTTGACTATATCCGTTACGTCCCCATGCATAAACCTCACCATCTTCTGTGCTGAGCACCACATGAGGACCATTTCCATAACTCAGACTGCGAATCCGCTTTCCAGATAAACTTTCAAGCTTCTTTGGTACAATAGTGCTTTGGTTATCTCCAGTTCCTAGGCAATTGCTACTATTTAGCCCAAATACAAAAACCTCATCATCGTGGGTAATATATATAGCTTCTGGGTTGTTGTAGGTTTTTCCGGGCTATATGGCCATGTTATAGAGGCATTTTCTCCTGACATTTCGCCTGCATCTATGGTTCATCGGGTGCTCTGCTATGGCTGACTTCTCTGGTTGAAGTAGTCTGGAAGGAATATGAAAGGTACTGCCTCTAGAATGCCTCTAGAACATGGCCATATAGCCCAGAAAAACCTACAACAACCCAGTGATTCCAGCCATGAAAGCCTTCGACAATATATATAGCTTCATTGGCAGAAGTTCCAAAGACACATGCTTTCTGGATAGTTGATATTTCTTGAGGTGAAAGCAGTGTAAATATTGGCCACTTTCCTACATCCATCTTGACACTTGCTGATCTTCATAACAGACTTCAATGTGCTGGTGTTATTTCGACCATTTGAAATACATTCATGGAATCATCCCACCATCCGCTTCTTCTTTCTCTTCCTCAGAGGAAGCGCCACAGCATCGCCTTCAAGAAGGTAGGACCCAACCTCCTCTCCTTTCACAATATATTCCATACCCATTTTGTCACATGCCGTCTCTCTCCATAAACTGAAACAATTTCGCAATGAATCGCAGCGGCGTTCATTCCCTTAGAATTTAAGTAGCGTATTACAGCGCGAACTTGGAGGGAAACGGAATGAGGATGCTCATCTCTAACCTTCACCACAATGCCAGTTGATGAGCTACTGACGACTGGCACTGCTCATTCACTTCCATTGGCTTCCTGCTACATGGCAGTGATACCAACTTTCCTCGAGAAAATTCCCCATGAGAGATACATGCCTTGTAACCTTACTTTCTGGATAACCCTCATACTTTTGTTGCTGCAAATTGAGTTCAAAGGGGCTGAGAAAGGGGTGGAAGATTGTCCTTCTTAGTAGGGTTCACCCTGTCTTAGCTTGTGCATTCTTCCTTATTAATAATGCTTGCCACTGTGGCCACACTCCAATGTTGTATGGCCACAAATGTCCCCGTTTTGCATCTGTAAGATGTTGGAGGGTATGTGAGTCCCAGCACTAGTCCTAATTCGAATAGATTGACTGAAACTCAATGGGTCTCCTCTACCTAGGGCTGGCGATGGGGTTTGTGCCTCCCAAAAGAGCTTGTGATACTATGGGCACAACCATGAAGAAATTTTCTTCCATGGGATCCATCACTATATGAAACCACATAATCATTTCAATAGGACTTCTGTAGGATAACATCCAAATAGGGTGTGTTCTAAATCTTCTCACCCATCAGGCAACGTCCATCCCTTCCTTAGGAGGGTTTTCCCCCCCTATCTTCATGTCTTAGGAACATCTCAAACCTAAGGTGGATCTCAGGGCCCTCTCCTAGGTTTCTTGGCCTCTACATCTGAAATCTCTCCGAAGCTTGAGATGTGAAGGGACCGTGACCCAGACCACTTCCTCCCCTCTTCGGTGGCCACTCTGTTTTCTCAATGCCAGAGAACCAAGAGAGGGTCTTTCTCTTGAGCTCAGCCTCCGTCCACACCTTAGTACTTAGCAAATGTGCCTGGGAGCGGAAGGCCTTCCACTCGCTAAGACAAACAAACAAATAAAAATGCTGTACAGTGACTGTGCCATGTGGTTTCCATTTTTATTGTAACGAATTTAGCCGTACTGGAAATTATAATTATTATATGATGATGATAACAATAATGACTATGATAATTATTAAAAATGCTCTTTGATTATTCTGGGCCCAGAGTGTTGCTTTGAGAGGTATGCCGAGTGCCTGGTCTTCCCTCCTACAACTTTCTTCCTTCATACTCAGTTTGCCTAAATTGCTGCAACCTAAATACAAAGAAGCGGTTGTCTGAAAAAGTTGTGCTCCCAAGACCCAAATTAGAGAAAATTGGAGGGTTCTGGGGGTTGGTAGTTAGGGTTGCCAGGTGTCAAGAGTTGTCCCTCTCCCTGAGATTCCAGTACCTGAACCTGAGATTTCAACTTCTGTTACCGAGATCTAGAACCCTTACAGGATGTGGTTGTTGATGCTATGTTACAAGAGGCATCACCTTGGTGATACTGAGCACAATGCATCAACCATTGTTGTACAGAGGACAAAATTAAGAAACACCATGTCTCACATACATATACATACACACTTTTCAAGGCAACACCCTTGCACTGAGGTTCATCATCCTGAGAACCAGAGGAGGAGGTCCATGCCTAGAACCCTAGGGTCAGCGCCTGAGATCTGGGGATAACTTTGGTGGTCAAACACATAATAATTTTCCCAAGGCCAAGCTATGAGGAGGTTAAGGAAGATGACCTGAAGTTGAGTGGGAATTTGTTTTCCAATGCTGGCGGTAAAGGTGATGGCTGAGATGGTCTTGAACGGAGTCGACAGCAATGGGTGACCTTCCGCACCATCAAACACAGATCTGCCCGGAAGCGCTTGATAGCAAAACAGTAGATTAGTGGATCAATGCAGCTGTTGAGACTCAAGAGAGCCACACTGAGCATGTGCAGATTGTCCAGGAATGATGGGGGACCACCAAATGGACTGGACATCCGGTTGGCCACCCAAGGCACCAGGGAGAGGTGGTAGGGGGCTACACAGACCACAAACACCAACAGCATGCCCAGAACCATGACTTGTGCCCGCCGGCGGTGTCCACCTTGACAAGGGCCAGTGGCAACTGAGAGGGTCCTCATGATAGAGATGTAGGCCCCTAAAACCACCAAAAAGGAGACTGCAAAGAGAAGCACCATGGCATAAGCATAGCTCCTCCGGCCTGTGTGTTGCTCAAAGCATTTTGTATTGAGCGATCCATCCTGGTGGGTCTGCTGAGTAGCCAAGGAGGGGATGGCACAAGCCGCACACAGACCCCAGGTCAAGGTACACCCCACCAATGCTCCCCGGGGCTTGTTCAAAGCCAGCTCCATCTTAGCCACGGTGCAGTAGCGGTTCAAGCTGATGAGGGTCATGAAAGCCATGGCACTGTAAGTAGCCAAATAATATGTGGCTCCAGCCAAGCGGCAGAAGGCTTCAGGCAGAACCCAGTGGCCCTCTGCCCAGTAGTAGGGGATCCAGAAAGGCAGGGTGAGGTTGAAGAAAATATCCGCCAGGGTGAGGTTGATGAGATAGATACGGATAGCCTTCCGCACCCGCCCACTCTGCAGGAACACAAGGAGGGCGGCCACATTTCCCGGCAAGCCCACACACAGCACCAGGCAGTAGACGGCCGGCACCAGGATGAACTGAACAGGGTCACTGAGATGGCAATGCCTACCCACAAGCCCTGTGCCAGTGGAGTTATTCATCCCAATGCTCCTGGATAGGCAAAAAGAAAGAGAAACAACATCAATTCAAAACATGAAGTGAGAAGGACAGATTTCAAAAGTAGAAAAAGTAACCCACATTGGTTGAGACTTGCACAAGCTTTAGTCCAAACAAGTATTTCTTCCAAGAAATGGAAAGGACACTGCAGGTAAGTATTTATTTCGCGCATTTCTACCCCGCCCTTCTCAACCCCCAAGGGGGGACTCAGGGCGGCTTACAAAAGGCACAATTCGATGCCAACACAGACAATAAGATAAAAACACATATAACAGCAATTATAAACAATTAAAACAATCAATTATACAAAACAATCAGTAAAACCAATCTTATGCTCAACGTTTGCCAACTCAGAGTCCGTAAATTCATTCCACATTGTCCATCCTATTAATTCTGGTCGTCATTATCCTTTGTCTATCTGCCAGATTACCCAAAAGCCTGGTCCCATATCCACGTTTTTAATTTCCTTCTAAAAGAAAGGAGACATGTCAATGACCTAATTTCCCCGGGGAGTGAATTCCACAGGCGAGGGGCCACCACCGAGAAGGCCCTGCTCCTCGTTCCCACCAATCTCACTTATGATAGAGGTGGGGCCGAGAGCAGGGTCTCCCCAGAAGATCTTAAATTCCGAGGCAGGACATAGAGGGAGATGCGTTTGGACAGATACGCTGGGCAGGTCAAAACCAGCACTTTGAATTGCGCTCGGAACTGGATCGGCAGCCAGTTGGGAGGTTATGATCCTGGGAGTAGATGGGAGGTTATGATCCTGGATGGATGGATTGGGGGGTGGGTAGAGTGAAGTGGAGTGAGGAAGGGAGGGAGGGAGGGTATTAGATGGTCAGAAAAGAAAGAATTTCTTCTAAATGGAAGGACCAACAAATCTGGGGGAACTGATAGACACAAGGACATACGAGGGGCATTCATTAAAGATTTCCCCTGACCCACTTCCTGTGAACTGAGAGCAATGAAACCTGGCACAGTTATGAGTCCTTCTCTCCATAGGTGCCACCTACAGACACACACATTTTAAGCAATTGTCAATACTTCACTTGTAGAAGTTGACAGGTTACTCCAAAAGCCCCCATTGTGACTTCAGAAATCAGAGTCTCATCATCTGAAAACTGCTTGCCCTTCAAAAATAACTTCATTGTTGGAAAATGGGGGAAGTCTGATGGTGCAAGGTCGAGTGAATAAGAGGGATGCAGTAGAATTTCAAAGCAACAGGAGCATGCTTCTTCCATTTGGGCAACAGGTAAGTTGTGAACTGGTGCATTGACTTGCAGAAGGCAGACACCTTTGGTGAGCATGCCACGTTGTCTCTTGGTTTTGATAGCTTCCCGCCATTTCTGCAGCAGTGAAGCATAGTATGCCCCAGTGATCATGGTATGCTTTGCTAGGAAATCCATCTATACTACTCTATGCTGGTCCCAAAATACTGTGAGCATGACCTTGCCAGCCAAGAACTGGCCACGTGCCTTCTTTGGAGGCGGTGAGAATATTCAGTCTCAGGATCGTCATGATGGCCCCATTTTTCACCCTGTGTGATTGGTCTGTTGAAAAAGACCTCCTGGTTTCCATGGCACATCGTTGTCAATAGAGCCTAAGAGCATTCAGCTCGTTCCTTCTTCTGGAAAGGTGTGTGTAGCCAGAAGACCCAGCAAGCGGATACCTTATACATGTGAAGATGGTCTTGGATGATTTTTTCCACTGACCCCACACTAATCTTGGCATTTTGGGCTAGGTGGCAATTGGTTACATGGCGATTTTCCAAAATAGTAACCTCCACTTGCTGGATGGTGTCTTCATCAATAGCAGAGTGGGGTCGCCCTGGAATTGGAGCTGTTTGCACCAAGGTCAGATCACATTTGAATTGACGATGCCAGTTCTTGACTACATGATATAATGAGGAATCATCACCATAAATCTCTTTCATTTCATCAAACGCAGCCTTTGGTGTGTGGCCTTTCAAGGAAAGGAACTTGAGGACTTCTCTGTATTCCACTGGGTCCATTATCAAACCTCACTCCACTTCAGCACCTGTAAAATCAAGACTGTTATCATTTCTGAGTTGTAAATTGGCACATAACCTATAGAGACTTAGATCATTACACTTATGCAGTTTCAGCATCCTGTGGTAAATAGAAGAGGGTCAGGGGAAATATTTAATGAATGCCCTGTAAATGTGGCAATAGGAATTTCAATACACCTAACAACCCAATGTATGTTCTCTACTCAACCCCCCCCCCAAAAAAAACACTTCCCCCACCCCCCTTAGAAAGACGTTCAACTGTAAGCCTCAGGGAGGGAGGGGGAGGGAAGGCATGCACAAGCATGGCCAGCAGCGAGTGCGCATGCCCAGCAGGCTCCCATGGAGGCCCTCCCTTCAGGAGCTGGAGGAAAAGCCCTCATCCCCGCAGGCCTGCTACCCTGTCACTATCCTTTACATCAGGGGTCCTCAAACTATGGGGTGTGGAAAAGGGTGAGTCCCCCCCCCCCCAAGAAGTGCTTCCCCAGGCAGCAACACTCCGGCAGGTGCAGAGGAGGTCGGGCTCCCTCCTCCTCCTCGTCCAAGGAGTAAACTTGCAACTGAAGGAAAGGAGGGATGGGGTGGGCACATTCGGAGCTGAGGGGAAAGAACAAACAAAAAGAGGTAAACAACACTTTAGATTTACTTTGTGCCTTCACTCTGCAGCAATGACCTTCTTTTTTGGATTCTCCATGCTCCAACATATCGGAGGAAGCAGCAGCAAAAGAGGCAGAGAGAGGGGGGGAAGGTGTTGCAACCCAGATCAGGAAACAAGACCATAAGATTAAATCCACCACACTTGACTGTGGGAAAAACAATCCTTTTTTATTGATGAAAAAATGGTTACAAAATAGAGGAAAATGCAAAGTCAAAAAGCCACAGTAAAATTCAGCAGTCAGGAATATCTCTGAACTAGATGAAAATTCCAAAAGCAACACTATAAAAACCTGGAACCTGTTAGTATCTCACTAACCGTACTTGGAAACTAGAAGCCTCTGGGAATCCAGGCCGTGGGAAACGGGAACTCAGCCAAGGTAATACCTCAGTCTAAACGATGCTTGATCTAACCAAACAGGCACGGGGGAAGACACTTTAAACTGAAGAAACTGTTTCGGGACACGCCTCCAGGCTTGGAAGCCTCCTTTTCCTTTAATCTACTTGACTTTTGCAGACTCTGTGATTCACTCCTGTTTTCCCAAATCTGCCATCTTCTATCCTCATTAAAAAAAGGCTGGTGTTAACTCCTCTAGAGAGTTATCACCGCTTGATTCTGAAACATCCTCATCAGGATGTTTAGTTTCACTTTCCCAGCCACTGCCCTCAGAATCAACAGTTTCCAAACCATCAGGGGAAACTACATGTTCAGTAGCCTGTTCAGCTGCATCAAGAAATACAATCAAAGAATCAGGGTCAGGTTCACACGGAGGCTGAGGGTCAGGTTCACATGGAGGCTGAACCCCAACAGGAGGAGCAGCAGGAAGGGAGACGGACTCTCCTCTCTGTCTCTCTCTCTCCCTGCAGCATCCACCGGATTCCTGGCTATGGCTCTGCAGGCTTCCAGCCCCATGCTAACTTTAAGTTTGTGTCACATGGCTCCTGGGGGGAGCTAAGGATTGCCCTGCCCACCACTCTCCAGGGCCAACAAGAGTAACCAAAAACTTTATTTACTGCAGAGGAGGCTCCTGTTTGGAGGAGAAAAGGTGAGAGGCAGGAGCCTGAGATTGGGGGCGGAGGCCTACAAGAGGAGAAGTTTGTGGGTAAAGATTCTTGGAATTGCTGGGTGCCTCTGAGCATGTGCAGAGTGATTCCTTGAGCTTTCCAAAGGTGATGGATTGCAACTCCTTTCTATATATATATATAATACTTTATATATTACTATCTATATATATATAAATGCTCTGTGCATAATGAGTACCTTAAAAACAAAAGAACCAATGAACGAAATCACACCAAATTTGGCAACAAAATGTCTCACAACACAAGGAGTGACCATCACTCAAAAAATTATGATTTTGTCATTTGGGAGTTGTAGTTGCTGGGATTTATAGTTCACCTACAATCAAAGAGGATTCTGAACTCCATCAACAATGGAATTGAACCAAACTTGGCACACAGAACTCCCATGGCCAACAGAAAATATTGGAAGAGTTTGGTAGGCATTGACCTTGAGTTTGGGAGTTGTAGTTCACCTACATCCAGAGAGCACTGTGGACTCAAACAATGATGGATCTGGATCAAACTTGGCACAAGCACTCAATACGCCCAAATATGAACACAGATGGAGTTTGGGGGAAATTGACCTTGACATTTGGGAGTTGTAGTCACTGGGATTCACAGTTCACCTACAATCAAAGAGCATTCTGAACCCCACGAACGACAGAATTGGGGCAAACTTCCGACATAGAACCCCCATGACCGACAGAAAATACTTAAGGCCATCCAATCCAACTCTCTTCATCAGGGTAAGAAAACGTAATCAAAGTCCTCCTGACAAAGAGCCATCCAACCATAGAGATAGATAGATATGATTCACACAGAGATATAGTATCATAGATTTGAAAGGGACTCCTAAAGAAGGGCAATGATATGTTGTATGTTCCAGAGTAGGCCAACCAGACACTCTCCACATCAACACTGACAAAGAAACAGCAAGATATACTGTTTACCCATAAGCAGAAAGAAATTACATATATTAGAAACCATCACTTTCTCATTACTTTATTTTTGAGATCAACAGACTGGGCCACAGCAACGTGTGGCAGGGAACAGCTAGTTATATATATTGCTGTATAATACATATATATTATATATTTTATTGTTATATATACTACTATATAATATAATGTTACTACTATATATTACTATATTAAATAGACTCATAGAATAGACTTAGAAGGGACTCTACCATGGTATTGGGGGAGAACAGAGAGGAATGAAGGAGAGAAGAAAGGAGGGAGGGAAAAAGGGA